CTATGACAGACAAAATGAGAAAAAAAATTCCAGAAAATCACATTGTAGGATTTTTAATGAATTTATTTGCAAATTATGGTAGAAAATAAGTATTTGGTCAATAACAAAAGTTTCTCAATACTTTGTTATATACCCTTTGTTGGCAATGACACAGGTCAAACATTTTATGTAAGTCTTCACAAGGTTTTCACACACTGTTGCTGGTATTTTGGCCCATTCCTCCATGCAGATCTCCTCTAGAGCAGTGATGTTTTGGGGCTGTTGCTGGGCAACACAGACTTTCAACTCCCTCCAAAGATTTTCTATGGGGTTGAGATCTGGAGACTGGCTAGGCCACTCCAGGACCTTGAAATGCTTCTTACGAAGCCACTCCTTCGTTGCCCGGGCGGTGTGTTTGGGATTATTGTCATGCTGAAAGACCCTGCCACGTTTCATCTTCAATGCCCTTGCTGATGGAAGGAGGTTTTCACTCAAAATCTCACGATACATGGCCCCATTCATTCTTTCCTTTACACGGATCAGTCGTGCTGGTCCCTTTGCAGAAAAACAGCCCCAAAGCATGATGTTTCCACCCCCATGCTTCACAGTAGGTATGGTGTTCTTTGGATGCAACTCAGCATTCTTTGTCCTCCAAACACGACGAGTTTCATCTGACCATATTACATTCTCCCAATCCTCTTCTGGATCATCCAAATGCACTCTAGAAAACTTCAGAAGGGCCTGGATATGTACCTGCTTAAGCAGGGGGACACGTCTGGCACTGCAGGATTTGAGTCCCTGGCGGCGTAGTGTGTTACTGATGGTAGGCTTTGTTACTTTGGTCCCAGCTCTCTGCAGGTCATTCACTAGGTCCCCCCGTGTGGTTCTGGGATTTTTGCTCACCGTTCTTGTGATCATTTTGACCCCACGGGTGAGATCTTGCATGGAGCCCCAGATCGAGGGAGATTATCAGTGGTCTTGTATGTCTTCCATTTCCTAATAATTGCTCCCACAGTTGATTTCTTCAAACCAAGCTGCTTACCTATTGCAGATTCAGTCTTCCCAGCCTGGTGCAGGTCTACAATTTTGTTTCTGGTGTCGTTTGACAGCTCTTTGGTCTTGGCCATAGTGGAGTTTGGAGTGTGACTGTTTGAGGTTGTGGACAGGTGTCTTTTATACTGATAACAAGTTCAAACAGGTGCCATTAATACAGGTAACGAGTGGAGGACAGAGGAGCCTCTTAAAGAAGAAGTTACAGGTCTGTGAGAAACAGAAATCTTGCTTGTTTGTAGGTGACCAAATACTTATTTTCCACCATAATTTGCAAATAAATTCATTAAAAATCCTACAATATGATTTTCTGGATTTCTTTTTCTCATTTTGTCTGTCATAGTTGACGTGTACCTATGATGAAAAGTACAGGCCTCTCTCATCTTTTTAAGTGGGAGAACTTGCACAATTGGTGGCTGACTAAATACTTTTTTTCCCCACTGTAAGTATTTGATCACCTACCAACCAGTAACAATTCCGGCTCTCACAGACCTGTTAGTTTTTCTTTAACAAGCCCTCCTGTTCTCCACTCATTACCTGTATTAACTGCACCTGTTTGAACTCGTTACCTGTATAAAAGACACCTGTCCACACACTCAATCAAACAGACTCCAACCTCTCCACAATGGCCAAGATCAGAGAGCTGTGTAAGGACATCAGGGATAAAATTGTAGACCTGCACAAGGCTGGGATGGGCTACAGGACAATAGGCAAGCAGCCTGGTGAGAAGGCAACAACTGTTGGCGCAATTATTAGAAAATGGAAGAAGTTCAAGATGACGGTCAATCACCCTCGGTCTGGGGCTCCTTGCAAGATCTCACCTCGTGGGGCATCAATGATCATGAGGAAGGTGAGGGATCAGCCCAGAACTACACGGCAGGACCTGGTCAATGACCTGAAGAGAGCTGGGACCACAGTCTCAAAGAAAACCATTAGTAACACACTACGCCGTCATGGATTAAAATCCTGCAGCGCACGCAAGGTCCCCCTGCTCAAGCCAACGCATGTCCAGGCCTGTCTGAAGTTTGCCAATGACCATCTGGATGATCCAGAGGAGGAATGGGAGAAGGTCATGTGGTCTGAAGAGACAAAAAAAGAGCTTTTTGGTCTAAACTCCACTCGCCGTGTTTGGAGGAAGAAGAAGGATGAGTACAACCCCAAGAACACCATCCCAACCGTGAAGCATGGAGGTGGAAACATCATTCTTTGGGGATGCTTTTCTGCAAAGGGGACAGGACGACTGCACCGTATTGAGGGGAGGATGGATGGGGCCATGTATCGCGAGATCTTGGCCAACAACCTCCTTCCCTCAGTAAGAGCATTGAAGATGGGTTGTGGCTGGGTCTTCCAGCATGACAACGACCCGAAACACACAGCCAGGGCAACTAAGGAGTGGCTCCGTAAGAAGCATCTCAAGGTCCTGGAGTGGCCTAGCCAGTCTCCAGACCTGAACCCAATAGAAAATCTTTGGAGGTAGCTGAAAGTCCGTATTGCCCAGCGACAGCCCCGAAACCTGAAGGATCTGGAGAAGGTCTGTATGGAGGAGTGTGCCAAAATCCCTGCTGCAGTGTGTGCAAACCTGGTCAAGACCTACAGGAAACGTATGATCTCTGTAAATGCAAACAAAGGTTTCTGTACCAAATATTAAGTTCTGCTTTTCTGGTGTATCAAATACTTATGTCATGCAATAAAATGCAAATTCATTACTTAAAAATCATACAATGTGCTTTTCTGGATTTTTGTTTTAGATTCCGTCTCTCACAGTTGAAGTGTACCTATGATAAAAATGACAGACCTCTACATGCTTTGTAAGTAGGAAAACCTGCAAAATCGGCAGTCTATCAAATACTTGTTCTCCCCACTGTAGGTGACCCCTTCACCTTGACAGGCCTGCTCAATTTCATTGAGAAACACAATGAGGTGTGCAGCGTGGTAGGATGCAAGTAATGGTCTACGTCCTACCACACCATCTTCAGAGATAGCTGCTGCTCTTGGAAATGTTTCCCCCACGTTGTCCAGGCACTTGGACGGACACCCGTTGGCAGATGAGGTTCTGCCCACGGCGCCAAGTTTTGGCCAGGTTGAAGCCCGCTTCATCAACAAAGATATACTAGTGATGGTTCACAGCAGCATCAAGCACCATCACCCTCTAAAAATATATTTTGGTTAGTTATTTTTACAGTATAGTTCCAATATGATATTGTGAAGTAGCATGTGCATTAATAGCAACAGTAATACAGTATATAGTGCTGTACCTGAACATACTCGGCCCACAGTTGTTTCTCTCAGAAGGCTCCAGGTCAATGTGTTTCATAGATACCTGGTGCCTCTTCAAAAGGCAGGTGATTGTTGGTAGGCTGATGGATGCCACATTGGCAAAGGTGTCATCATTCTCCTCAATGGCCTGCTTTATTTCAGACAGACGTATGTCATTCCTGGCCCTCACCATTTCCACCACTGCCCACTCCTGCTGGTCGGTCAGCACACGACCACCACCATGGGGTCTTCTGTCAATTCTGAGGGTAGAACAGAGTATACTGTCAATAGATCATACTGTAAGAATACTGGAAGAGTTGTGAAACTTTACCACACACTTGTGAAATAGTACCAAGACAACACTGGGGAACAGGTTGTCTGGAATCCAGTAACAGTGGAAATTGACCCCCTCCTCTCTCTTTGTGAGTTATCAGTGCTCTGTACAGGCAGAAGTTAGTAAGTATGAGACAATCTTTACTGAACTGATCGGGTCCATTGAGAGAATACTCACTGAGGTGAAAAGGTTGACTAGAGGCCAGGAGAAGACTGCAGTGAGACGGGCTGAAGGACATCTGGAGCAACTGGAGCAGGAGATAGCTGAGCTGAGGAAGAGAAGCACTGAGCTGGAGCAGCTCTCACACACAGAGGATCACATCCATTTCCTCCAGGTAACTAAACTGCCTTGTTACATGTGATATGAAGTTGCATTTTGCATTTTAAATAGTGACAGAATTCCAAATGTCTCCTGAGCTGAAGACCAAAGAAGAGTTGTCCCTCTGTAAGTGATATTCAAACACCCTCTCAAAGACAACATACATGTTCTTTCTTTTACTTATTGGGTTTTGTTGTTCATCAGTCAGACGTCCTCCAGCTGACATTGGATCTGAATACAGCTTATCCAGAACTCAGCCTGCCTGATGTAAACTGGAAGGTGACAGCCACTGATAAAGCTCAGCCCTATCCTGACTACTGGAGACAGGTGCTGTGTAGAGAGGGCCTGTCTGGAGTCTGCTACTGGGAGGTAGAGTGGGAGAAAAAAAAAATCATTAGACATAGCACATTCTTTGTAGCCTGGTCCCAGATCTGTTAGTGCTCTTGCTAAACAGATGGCCTGATAGCACATACAGACTGACACTCAGGCTTCAGACTTTTACTGTCTACCTGATCACCTCTTGGCTGTTGCAATCCTCTGTAAATGTGTCACTATTTCTCTTGATGTAAACTGTAGTACTGGCAAACCAGTCAAATCAGAAACTGGGATAATTGTTGATCCATTTATGTTCAGATGAGAATATCTTTAAATCACCCATGTACATGTATGAATACAAACAATTCAGTTTTCTGAATCAATTACTGAATCAATGTGATCTTTAAAAATAAAACTCATCATCATGACATTGGAATTGCTCTATTATTGAATTGATTGACCCAATGAATCAGCTATTTCCAGTCATCTATGTACCAGTATATACATTTAGACAAATATATGACACATAATAGACTTACACATTACATTGGAGCAGGAAGGAACACAAAGGTTGAAGTCTATGACCATCTAAACTGTCTAAAACTGACTGTCAATGAAAAGAATACACAGTACATACATAAATAAACCAAGTGGAAGTCCAGCGCTACAGGGGACAAAGGTAGTGTAGAGGTCACAACACTGTTTCTATGGAGACTGTTGTGGAGGAGCGTTCCATGGTGTCATAGAATCACAGGCAGGTCTTGTACTGCAGGAGTTTCTCTGCCAGAAGGCTGCTTCCTACTCCTCTACACTGCACCACACTCAGGTCTAGGTACCTGGGACACAGGGGAGGAGAGACTGCTAGGGTGGATCTGTCTCAATACTGTCACATGTCTCAATACTGTCACCTGTCTCAATATTGTCATCTGTCTCATCTGCACAGACTATATTGAAACGTTGTTCAGGTCACCTCAAGGGGTCAAGGAAAATCTCAAATTTGTTTGACTGAAAATCTTGAAGTCCAAGACTGAAAGAACTCTAATGGCTTCCTCTCCTCCTCATGTCCTCTGTCTCATCTACAGTGACTATATTGATACATGAGAGGTTCTCATACTGTACCTGGAAGATATCCACCAGAACACCAGAGTGTTTATGGTCATCAACATGGCTAAGAAGAAGAAGAAATGCTCCAGATTCCCTTCATGCAGTGTGTTTGGGTACAAGTTACCTGTAGTTGGACTGGAGAACAGTGCTATCAGTGGCCATAGGACTGAATCCCCATAATGCAGACAGACCCCCATCAACCATTCCAACATGAATGTATGTTCCTCTTCAGTTTCTATGGTTACGATGATGCATCTGTAAGTGAAGCCTTTACCTCCAGAGAGTAGGTAGACCAGCTGGATGATGAGGGCTCCCAGGAAACAGCTCCCTCTGTAGGACAGGGGGAGGAAGTGCAGGGAGTTGCCTCTGATATGACTGGGTGTCAGGTGGAAGGAGATCACAGAGCCTGGAACAGAGAAGAGAGGAAGGCTGGGAAGAGAAAGAAGCATTCATTTGGTTCAAACGTCTCTTGTCTGTCTCTAATACACCAGTAGGGGGCATCCTAACCCTAGCTTCCAGAGTTCAGAATACTATCCTCCGTGTTGGCAGTTGGTTCCAAAACTCCACATTCTAACTTCATCCTAACTACATATGGTGTCCATTGACATTAGAAATCTCAAACCCAGTTTGTCTCTGTGTACGAACAATGTAGCAGCAATAGGTGTGTCAGAAATACGTGCTCAGCCAGCCCCAGTAGGATGTACTGGGGAGCCAGCTGGAAGCAGGCCATGGCGGACACCTGGAGCACCTTCCCTGACAGGGCCTGCTCCGTCAGAGGATAGCCCTTCCTGTGGACCTCAGACAGGCCCGCTACCAGGACAGACAGGGCCGCACACGCATGATCCAGCACTGAGAGAGGAGAGGAGGGGAGAGGGAGGGAAACAGAGAGAGAGAGGGAGAGAGAGAGACATTAACATTGACTGGCTCATTGATGTGGATGGTATTTGTGCATGTGTGTGTGTCTGTGTGTGTGTGTATGTGTGTGTGTGTCTGTGTGTGTGTGTCGTGTATGTGTCTGTGTCTGTGTGAGTCTGTGCGTGTGTGTGTCTCTGTCTGTGTGTCTGTGTGTGTGTGTGAGTCTGTTTGTCTGTTTGTCTGTCTGTCTGTCTGTCCGTGTGTGTGTCTGTGTGTGTCTGTGTGTGTCTGTGTCTGTGTGTGTCTGTGTGTGTGTGTCTGTGTGTGTGAGTGTGTGTGTCTGTCTGTCTCTGTGTGTGTGCCGTGTGTGTGCTTACTGATGACTCTGTCGGGGGAGAAGGGTGTTGTGATCTCCACATTAATCTAGGTAGCCATAACCAAATCAGTTAGTCACTGAGAGACGATATATCAACACAGAGATGGGCAAAATATACTGTACAACAAAAATGGATCTTGTTAAAAATACCAGATACTCTAAAGACTAATGTATCAAACTAAAATACAAAATACTTTTGCAGTTGTATGTAGATAAAATACAAATACATACAGGTAAATACATTTGCTAGTACACACCTTCACTACAACAACATTCTCAGTGAAGGAAGAAAACACCTTTTAACTTTCTATGACTGTGATATGAGATTGTTCATCTACCTTAGTTGAATGTACTGATGGTAAGTCTCTGGATATACTGTGATATGAGATTGTTCATCTACCTTAGTTGAATGCACTGATTGTAAGTCTCTCTGGATATGAGTCTCTGCTAAATGACTAAAATGACAATGTAATAATGAACAATTGCAAAGCACACTGGGTATTATTATTGGCCTTCTTTTGGGTGCAGAGCTCATTATTATAATACCCAGCATGCTTTTCAACTGTTCTTTTTTACGTGTTTATTTGGTTCATTTAGCAGACGCTCTTATCACTCCATAGTGCTATCAGACTTCTGATACCAATGCAGGGTGAAAGAGGGGCCACAAGATGTGAACCGCTATAAAAAATGGTATGGAAAGGTATTTTGTATTTTCAAAATACATTGGAGTGTAGTTCATCCCAGCATAATTCAAATGACTAAATACTCAGAAGTAATTAATATATGTATTTCAAATGCATGTAACATAAATACAAACTATCTCTGCCGACTACCAAAAAATCTGTCACACTTCCTTATCAAAGAAACCACACCCCCTCTACATACAGAGTACACATTTTTGTCATTTACTAGTCACTTTATCAAACCATAGTGCCATCAGACTTCTGATACCAATGCAGGATGAAAGGGGAACACAAAATGTCCAACCCCTATAAAGAATGGTATAGAAAAATATGTTGTATTTTACAACAACAAAATGTTTTTACAAATTACAGGTCTCAAAAGTATCTTGTTCCAAATACATAGGATTGTAGTTCAGGCCAGTGCAATACAAATGACAAAATAGTAAAAAGTCATTGAAATATGTATTTCAAATACGTATAACAGAGATACTGCCCATCTCTGTCTCCACATTATCTTCTGTAACATGTTGAAGGGAATGCCTGCTGTTGGAAGCGTACTCCACCCTAAAGCCACTCTCCAATTAGGGCCACATCCTAGTTAAGCAGTACACCTTGCTGCAGTCAACTCTCTATGCCCGTTTGGTGAGCCACCATGCGGCTGGTGGGTCTCCAACCCAGCCACTATCTCAAAGACTATGGACCTCTTGATGAACTCTTTTGATGTAGTTTTGATTGGTATGGTGGCCAAAGACATTTCAGTTATAGTTTTGACTTAAAGGGATACTTCAGGATGTTGTCAATGAAGCCCTATATTTACTTCCCCAGTCAGATGAACTTGTGGATAACATTTGTTTAACGTAGTTATTGTGTGAAGAAGATATAATGAAGAAAACATTCTGCCAGTAAAACTTTATTAGAACAGTTTGTCGCACAAGTTCCTCTTTCTGTTCCTCTGTCTAAACCAACTGTTCTAGGCGGAGTGCCAAAACAGCTTCTGGGTGAGGGGCAGCATCCTGTTGTTGATCCTCTGTCTAAACCAACTGTTCTAGGAGGAGTGTCAAAAGAGCTTCTTGACGAGGGGCAGCATCCTGTTGTTAAGATAGAAGTCACAGAAGCTCAGCATTAGGGTTGAAAACTGAGATGTGTCAGTTGTCAGAACCCTGTTCCGAGAACTGAAACAACACCCTGATCTCTTGAGTTTGTAAGTGATTACCCAGTCATTATGCTCTGAGGAGGGCTAGGTATTTTATTTTGCCTTTTCAATGCCTTTTCAAAGTGATTTGTGAAACATTTATTTTTAATAAACCTCCAGGACATTTTCCTGTTTAAACCGGTCATTTGCCTCCAGTGTCCTGGTCCTAAAAACCCCCTGCAGACAGAGTATTCTACTACCACGGATGGGTAGAAATTACTATATACAATTACAAAATACAGATACAAAATACCATCAAGATCAATGTATCAAAATACACTACTAAATACTTGTATTTTGTAATGTATTTAATTAAATGTAATGTATTCATTTTAAATACAAAAATACATTTGCAAGTAACCGGTCCGAACAGCAACAACATTCTCAGTAACGGTGACAAAACCTTTTTTCTTGCTATGACAGTGATACTGTATTTTGCTATCTACCTTAGTTAAGCAAGCCAGTCTGGATAATTTTAATTAGTGCCTTCATCTTAAGACAGCTAGGTGAGACAACAAAATATTACAATCATATCAAGTACATTTTCCCTCAACAAAGTATTTATCAACATTTTTACATATACATTTATATTTAGTTCATTTAACAGACGTTCTTATCACACCATAGTGCTATCAGACTTCTGATACCAATGCAGGGTGAAAGGGGGGCCACAACATGTGAACCGCTATGATAAATGGTGTAGAAAAGTATTTAGTATTTATTTGGAAAATAAAAAACACAAAATGCATTGGAGTGTAGTTCAGCCCAGTGTAATTCTAATGACAAATTATTCAGAAGTAATTATAATACGTATTTCAAATACATGTAACATAAATACTAACCATCTCTGCCTACTACCCAACACTCTGTCACGCTTCCTCATCAAATAAACCACATCCCCTCTACATACAGAGTTCACAGTCAAGTAGGAAGCCACTTCCTGTCCTCTGGTGTAGAGTTCCATGAAACAGAAAGTAATCTTTGACACTGAACAGAAAGTCATCTTTGACACTGATATTGCTTAACCTACGGGAGAGAGCACCAAAATGGCAGAGAATCAGGAACTGTTCTGTTGCTCCATCTGTCTGAATCTACTGAAGGATCCGGTGACTACTGCCTGTGGACACAGCTACTGTATGGGCTGTATTAAAGAATGCTGGGATCAGGATTATCTGAAAGGTGTCTACAGCTGTCCCCAGTGCAGACAGACCTTCAGACCAAGGCCTGTTCTGAAGAGAAACATTGTGCTGGCTGAGGTGGTGGAGAAACTGAAGAAGACAGGACTCCAGGCTGCTTCCCCTCCTGCTCTGTGCTATGCTGGACCTGGAGATGTGACGTGTGATGTCTGCACTGGGACCAGAAAGCAGAAAGCCCTCATGTCCTGTCTGGTGTGTCTGGCCTTTTACTGTGAGACTCACCTCCAACCTCACTATGAATCTCCTGCTTTCAAGAAGCACAAGCTGGTCAAAGCCACCGCACAACTACAGGAGAAGATCTGCTCTCATCATGACAAACTGCTGGAGGTTTACTGTCGTACCGATCAGCAGTGTATCTGTCTGCTGTGTGTGACGGATGAACATAAAGGTCATGATACAGTGTCAGCTGCAGCAGAGAGGACTGAGAAACAGGTAAGACCAGAACAACTTGTTGGTGACTGTCTGATTAACAAATAATTAAAGGTACAGTAGAAACAAAGGCTGTTTGAAATCGATCCAAGGCAGACCAAATATGAACACAAACCTTGAGTATATAGATATGTTAACCCAGATTCTTCAAATGCGTCACCATTTTCTAAAGTCTGTTCTGAACAAACAGAGTAAAAACTCAAACGGAAGACTAGAAAAATCTCAAACCAAGTTTATTCACCCACTGGGTCATACAGCTGCAAAGACAATGTATGATTACACAAGCACATATATTTATAACCTCCTACTAGGCTGGGTCAACTCCTTACACGTCTAGACAGCCATGCATCTCTGTTGCTAGGCAGGAAATTAATTGGTTCCTCTCACTGGTGTAGTCATGGCCCTGCCTGATGCTAGAACCTTCGTGGGCGTGGAAGTGGAAGTGTGTGAGATAGAACTGTAGTAGGAGGGTCGTTGGGGTGGGCCCCTTTGGCCCCCCTCCCAGAGGTTTCTTCTCACTTCATCTGTTGACTTGACCTTCTGCAGCTGGCCTGCCTTATCAGAAACTGAAACTAGACTGTTGCCCTTTGGCTCCCTCTTTAGGAACATTGATATTCAACACTAACATGTTTGAACAGAATATTTCTGCACTTCCTCTTGTCTCACTCAGTAACTTTCCATACACCAAGTTCCTATTCACCCTTCATTGACCTCAACATATACATTCCTTATACATGTAATGTAATCAATAAGTTATAGTATGGTAACATGAATAAGTATCAACAAGTCAAACACCATTATCATTCGTTATCAAACACCATTATCATTCGTTATCAAACACCCAATGAGCTCATTGTTTTGTGCACTGTTAAAACTATAATCATTCACATAACAATATAATAATATAATTTCACACAACACTTCCTCAACATATTAATCCCTATCTTCTATGGGCCCTATGTCCCATTACTATACTATTGATCTACTGGACAAATAAAGCTTGATAGCTCATTGAAGAGTGATTCTCCACAGAGGCAGCTGGGAATGAGTCAGCAGAAGGTCCAGCAGAGATTCCAGGAAAGAGAGAAGGAGCTCCAACAGGCTGTAAAGTCTCTCAAGGTGAGTATTGTTGACCAGAGGAGATGCATAATTTCACTTCTCTCCTCCAGTCAGAGAGAGGGAGAGGGGCCCTTATCCAATCCCACTGACCCCACTGTTGGGAACAGGCTGTCTGGACCCCTTTCAGAGAATATACTGCATTTTTACATTTACATTTTTAGTCATTTAGCAGACGCTCTTATCCAGAGCGACTTACAGTTAGTGAGTGCATACATTATTTTAATATTTTTTTATTTTGCATACTGGCCCCCTGTGGGAATCGAACCCACAACCCTGGCGTTGCAAACGCCATGCTCTACCAACTGAGCTACATCCCTGCCGGCCATTCCCTCCCCTACCCTGGACGACGCTGGGCCAATTGTGCGCCGCCCTATGGGTCTCCCGGTCACAGCCGGCTACGACAGAGCCTGGATTCGAACCAGGATCTAGTGGCACAGCTAGCACTGCAATGCAGTGCCTTAGACCACTGTGCCACTCGGGAGAGTGCTTAATTTAACCAATGGAAATGAATGAGGGAAAGTTAAGTGAGGTGGAAGGTGTGGTGAAGAGCTCAGAACCAGAGCCTGGCATCAATGCACATGATGATGAAGAATCTGGTGCAGTAGGAGTTAGGGTATAGGTGGAGGGTGCTCTATAAGCTCCCAGTGCTGGAAAGGTCAGGGGTCCTCCAGTGGAGGGTATTACATGGAGCCCTGGACACCAATAGCTGGTTGGCTCGGGTTGACCTGGGAGTTGGGGAGGGGTGTCCTCTTTCTGCAATGACAGACTCTCTCTCTCTCTCTCTCTCTCTCTCTCTCTCTCTCTCTCTCCAGCGCTCTGCACAGGCAGCAGTGGAGTACAGTGATACGATTTTTACTGAGCTGATCTGCTCCATTGAGAGAAGGTGCTCTGAGGTGAAGGAGCTGATCAGAGCCCAAGAGAAGGCTCAAGTGAGTCAAGCTGAAGGACTCCTGGAGCAACTGAAGCAGAATATAGCTGAGCTGAGGAAGAGAAGCACTGAGCTGGAGAAGCTCTCACACACAGAGGATCACATCCATTTCCTCCAGGTATTTAAACTGCCTTGTTACATGTGATATGAAATTAAAACTCTATGTGAAACTCTCAATAAATTTGGTTCTGTTCTGTTCTGTTCCTGTTCGCGTCTCTCTCTCCCTCTTCTCTCCTCATCTCTCTCCTCCTCTCTCCTCTCGCCTCTCTCTCCTCTCTCCTCCTCTCTCCCTCTCCTCCTCTCTCTCTCCTCTCTCTCTCTCCTCCCTCCTTCTCTCATCCACCCTCCATCTCTCCCTCCTCTCTTCCTCTGCTGTCGGGGGGGTTCGGTGGCTCCCTCTCTCTCCTCCTCTCTCTCTCCTCTCTCTCTCCCTCTCTCCCTCTTCTCTCACTCTCTCTCTCTCCTCTCTCTCCTCTCTCTCCTCATCTCTCCCTCTCCCTCCCTCCTCCTCTTCCTCACTCTCTCTCCTCCCTCCTCTCCTCTCCACCTCCCCCCGTCTCTCCTCCCTCATCCCTCTCTCCTTCTCTCTCCCATCTATCTCGTCAGCTCTCTCTCTAGCTCGGTCTCCTCGTCTTCTCGCTCTCCCTCTCTGGGGGGGGTGGTCTCTCTCTCGTCGTCGGGGGCTCTCCTCTCTCCCTCCTCTCTCCGTAGGAGAGGGGAAGGTCTGCAGTGCTCCTCTCCTCTCCTCTCCCAAGCTCGCCAGTGCTCTTCAACTTCCGTCTCGGTGCTCTCTGTCTCTCTCATGGCGCGGTCTCTTCTCCTATATAGCAATCTCGTCTCTCCTCCGGATAGGAGGAAGAGGGTCTCTCTCACATTCTCTCTCTCTCTCG